AGGAACTGGTTGAAGTAGTCGACCGCCGTCGTCCACGAAGCCTGGTAGTTGAAGGCGCGCAGCACCTGATCCGCCACCACCGGGCCGTTGAGCTCGACCAACGGTTCCTTGGCCGGCCGCACGGCATCGGGGCGCAAGGCCACGAGGTCGGTGGCCGTCGGGTCGAGGGCGATGAGGCCCGAGTGGTCGTTGTTCTCGATGCCGAAGCAGAAGGCCATCACGTCCTTGATGAGCGCCTGCTCCTTTGGCCGCGTTCGGTGGACCTTGTTGAGCAAGAGCACTATCGCCCTCTCCTCGGGCACGACCAAGTCCCACTCGGTCGCTGGGGTGCCCCTTATCTTCTTGTCGTCGGCACCGTCAGCGCCGCCACGGCCGCGGCCCCTTGCACCGAAACGCATCTGTCCCTGTGCAGAGCGCGGATCTGTCGAGCCGTCCTCGGACGCCAGCAGATCATCGGCCGAGTCGAGGGAGCCGTCGTCCTGGTACTCGGCCGACGATGGCGCGACGGATTGCGGTGGCTGCCGCGGGCCCTGGGCGTTTGATGCGGCGATGTCGGCCTGCATCCGCTCGATCCGCAGCTTCCAGCGCTGCCAGATGGTGCTAACCGCCTCGAAGCGCTTGTCGGCCTCTTCGCGCGTCTGCTCCAGCTGGCCGTGGTTCGTCGCGTCGGGCACCTCGCTGAGCATCGTCGTGAGGATCTTTTTGTCGACGAGCGGGAGCACGGGCAGATCGCGTGCCGCCTCGGCATCCATCGTGACGTTTCTGTCCATCGACTGGCCGTAGCAGATCTGGTCAAACAGCTTCCACGCGCGCTCCGTCTGGCCGGCCATCAACAGGATGCGGAGATAGGCGGCAAGGGGCTGGGCGAGCAGCTCGCGGTGGTCGCGGGCCTCGAGCACGGCAGCCTCGTGCGACAGGCGTCGGAGGCGCGACGTATCGGCCCCCTGGTCGATGCGCATCGCGTGCATCATGGCCTCCTTGGATTTGGCCCGCGGGCCTTGCTTGTAGCGGACGTAGGCGGGCAGTGCGAGGCGCCAGAGCTCCTGCAGCTCGCCAAAGATCTTTTCGGCCATTTGGAAAGACTTGGTCTCGGTACGGAAGGGCTGGGTGTCCGACCTCTTCGGGGCCCTTCGCCGCTCGTGGTGGACGAGGCCGCTGAGGAGCGCGTGGAAGCAGGTGGCGTTGGGGTGGATGCCCTGCTTCTTCATGTCGTTGAACAGGTTGAAGGCGAGCTGGATGTTGTCGATGCGCATCGCCATGATGATGAGGCTGATCCAGGGCACGCGCAGCCGGCTGGCGTTGATGACGGCCTGGTCGTAGTCGTCAAATTTGGGGTCGCGGCCCCGCAGCAGCACGCGCAGGATCTTCATCTCCTTGCGAACCAGCGTGATCGAATCCTCGAGCAGCTGCGTTGCGTCGGCTGGGTCGCTGACTGTCTTGATCCGGTCGTTGCGCGCCTTGAGCTCGAAGCTGAGCTCACGGACGCGCAGGCGGAAGTTGCGCTCCGGGTGGAAGGGCTCGCCGGGCGTGCCTTTGGGCGTGCCTTTGAGCTTGGCATCGCGGTTGGCCTCGTTGGCGAGCCTCGTACTAACCTTCTTGAGTTTCTTGAGCTTGCGCCGCTCGTAGCCGATGGGCATGTCCTCTTTGAACGATCGGTCCTGTTTCTCAGAGTCCCACTTGACGTCGAGCCGCCGCTTGGCGTTCTTGGCGCGGTTGTAGTTGGTGAGGACATTCTTGCGCTCGTTGAACGTGGCCCTGACCCCTGCACGTATCGCGGTAGTGTGGAGGGATGAGGCCATGAAGGGGGGCAGGAGGTAGGGCACGGATATCGGCTGTGGCGCGATGACTTCGGCGCGCGAGCTGGCGGCGGCGGCGGCAGGCGCAGGCAGACGCAGGCAGATGAAGCGACAGAGGGACCCATGGTGCAGCCTTCCGCCGCTGGCCAGAATCCTCGAGGTCATAGCGACGAGTCGGACAGGCGAAGCAGGTTCGAAATGAGACTGCTTGGAGCAAGAGCGGAGCGCCTCGCGGTTGGCACCTGCCCTTGGCCGTCCGTATCCTCGATGGCGGTAAGATGGCCGGCCAAAGAGGGACGAGTGATACGCGACCGGGACGGACGGAGGGAGGAGATACGCGAGCGAGGACCAGGAGAGAGCGACTGGCGAGTGCTGCCGGAGGGGGAGATGGTGGCGAGGGAGGAGGAAACCAGGCCAACAAAGGGGTCGTCGGGCAAGCCATGCGAGGCCTGGCAAGGCCAGACGAGGCCAACGTCGGGCACGCCAGGGGCCACCGCGGCCAAGCAAGCCAGCAAGCCAGGGTCGAGTTTTCTTCGCGGGCGGGAAAATCGAAAGAGGTGGAGGAGGCGGCGCAGCCTCGCCTGGCGCCTCGCCCTGCCAGGCCCGGCCATGCAAGGCCAGACCAGACCAGACCAGACCGTCTCGGAGCCACCGACGGGCAGCGCACGGATCCGAGACAGAGGGCCCCTCCGCCCGTGATCGACCGACGGCGGCGGGCAGCCCAGCGCCCCAGCGCCCGGCCGCTTCCCCGCTCCCCACCGCCTGGCCGGCACCATCCCGATCTTCTCAGCAGTCCATCAGCACCACCCTACCTCGCTCCTGCTTGGCGTCGCCTTCCCTGCCACCGCCTTACCTGTACCACGCCCGTTCCTCTTTTGCGGAACCCGTCCGACTTATCGGCTCGCTCCGACACTCGCACCCGACTGCACTCGCACCCGCACCCGCACCCGCACCCGCACCCGCACTGCTGCCCGCACTCGCACCCGGACCGTCCGCGACTCCTCCGCCATGGCCACCCACCGCGACGCCAACTCGCCGGCGATGCCGTACGTCGACCCGGCCCCCTTCCCCTCGGACATCCCCAAGGTCGACGAGGTCGGAACCACGTCGGCGCCCCTCAAGAGCGCCAGCTTCTTTATCGGAGAGCACTGCAAGGAGGTCAACGAGGACTTTATGCTGTGCAAGAACGAGAGCAGGGACCCCAAGCACTGCCTCCAGGAGGGCAGGAGGGTCACCCGCTGCGCACAGGACCTGTGAGTCGGACGCATGGCCTCAGCACCGCTGCGACGCCGGACGCGCCTCGCCGAGTCGACGATGACGGAGGCGTCCAACGAGACTGACCCGCTCGCCCGCGCCGCGTTTGCATCGCCCCGCCCCTGCAGCATCCGGAAGCTGAGCGAGCACTGCGGCAAGCAGTGGGAAGACCACTGGCAGTGCCTCGAGAAGCACAACCAGGTGAGGCCGTGCGCGCTCCGTCCCGTCTGGCCGCGACCCGGGACGATCTGACCGTCGCCGTCGAACCTCCTTGCCATCTGACCGCCGTGACAGGAATTCTACATGTGCCGGAAGCCCGAACGGACATTGAACCAATGCGTTTTTGAGAAGCTTGTGAGTGGACGGTGTGCCATCCCTTTGCACTCCCGCCGCGTCCTCGTGGTCCACGTATAGGATGAGCTCGATCTGACCCGACCGACATCGCGCCTCGATTGCCTTCGGCCTCCCTCTTCCCCGTCGCCCCGCGCAGAAACTGGCCAAGAACATCCCCGGATCGCCAGAAGGCCAGCCGCAGGTGCACGAGAAGAAGAACCCCATCTGGAGCGGTGTCCAGAGGTAGGCTGGGTCGAGCGAGCTAGCACAGGTCGACCGAGGATCAGCCGCCCTTCCTGTCCTGAGCGGAGAGGCTACCGAACCTCTTCCTCGCCGCTCGAGTCGCTCTGCCCTGTGCTTACATCGACGCAGCACCCGAGAAACAGAAGCTACATACATGCGAGTCCCTCGAAGGGCGACCGGCGACTGAGGCAGGCGCGTGCTCTCGCCGGAATCCGCTGCTCTTTCCGTGTTGCATCACGACCGCGGCGACTTTCGGCGCTTGTGCCATTCTCCCTCGGCGGCAATCCTCTCTGTGCCACCATCGTTGTCGCCGCCGCCGCCGCCTTCGTTCCAGAGGTCCAATGATGAGAAAGGGGAAAGGAACGTCGTTGCTGACTGCTATACTTGTACAGGTGGACGGTGAAGGGGCAGGGACGGGCTCAGACTTGGACGAGTGCAGAGAGGTGGCGCCGTTCGTCATCTCGGCCCATATCCGGGAGGGGGCTGCGAGTACTGCCCCGGCGGGGGACGACCGTAGCCTCCGTTCATACCACCGCCGCCGCCGCCAGGAGGTGGAGGCGGCGCACCGTAGCCTGGTGGCGGACCTCGGCGCTCGTACCCAGCAGGCGGCGGCCCAGCAGGCGAGCCGGGTGCTGCACCACCGCCCATCAAAGGAGGCGGCGGGCCCCGAGGA